AGACCGACTGTGCGAACACGGCCAGCGGTCACCAAGCGAGTCGTGTAGGGCATGCCCGAGAGACGGCATGCAGCTGGCAACAGGAGGAATAGAAAAATGTAGTCTACAGCAGTTGTCCCTCCGCTACATATGTTCAACTCTACACCACAGCAGCTCCCCTTCTTGGTAATAGGCGAGAGTCTGCATTCGTACGAACCCAATATGCCGTCAGCCTACCTTGTGCTCCACTGGGTGGCTTTGTCGACCTGCTGCATCGCAGCCAGAAGTGGAGAACCAGTCCTTGCTCTTCACCAACGCCACGAGCCGCAGAAAGAAGCTGTAGGGGACGCGCAAGTCAAGGCGAAACTGCTTGGAGGTTATGGTGTTGCTGTCTTCGAGGTCCTTATCCTCCAACATCTGTGCCCAAGCGCATGTCTCCACGTCTTTCCTCTTTCGCTGTCCTCTTGAAGAGTTTAGGGCGGGGAAGGTCGGGCGCACGATCCTCCTCCTCTTCATGCGACAAGTCGTTGCGTTGGACCTCATCAATGGCGACCAAGGCCACAGCAAGAGCGGTTGCTGGTAGCAGGGCATCACCCACACCGGTTTCGTCCATCGGAAGAGAGCCCAGGTGCTGATGTAGGGTGGAATCAAGCGAGTGGCACTCCCGCCGCCAGCGAGGAGTGCCAGGGGATGGCAGCCACTTCCACATTATTGGCGATGCTTGTGTGCGTGTGCCAGCAACGTCGGCGCGTGATTCGAAAAAATGACAACCTTTTCGGACAAGCGCATCCTGTCAAAAAGTTGCCCAAAATATGACAGGACAGGCTGTCAAAAAAGATATGTCAGTTTTTCGTTGTCATGTTTTAGCAAAAAAAGACCTTGTAACACTCGTCTATTTGGCCAGTTGTCATTTTTTGAAAAAAAGACAGCCTAAAAAAAGACATCGTAACAAATGGCCGGCTCGCAACACCTAGGGTCCGCGCCTACCCTAGAAGAGACCCGGAAGGCAGCACGGCGGATGAAAAACTGGAAAGCCCCTGGTCGTGATTCCCTTCCGGTAGAAATGCTCAACATCGACGACGTAGACGACCCCATCGTAATCGAAGACTTCCACGCCATCCTCGTCAAATTGTGGAAGAGGAGGTAGGTCCCCCAGGAATGGAAAGATAACACCATCAAGGTACTCTACAAGAAGGCGGACCGATCCTATTGTAACAACTACAGGGGGATATCCCGCCTGTCGCATGCAGGCACGGTGCTTCAAAAAATCGTCGCAAACCCTCTCAGCGACTACTGCGAGGAACACGACATCTTGCCGGAAGAGCAGTGCGCCTTCCGACCTGACAGGTCAACCGTCGACATGTTGTTCGTCGTTCAACGACTGCAGGAGCTGCCAAGGAGATGGAATATTCCTGCTTCGTCGACCTCCAGAAGGCCTATGACTCAGTCGACCGGGCACTACTATGGCAGGTGCTGGCCTGAGCGGGAATCCAGAGGAAATGATCACGGACATCCGCCACTTCCACGTAAGACTATATATGTAAAATCAGCTTCAGAGCTGTAATTATTTCCTGACAGCCGAAGAATTTCTGCGGGCGGCAAGAAGACTTTGCCCTATTTGTTGTTGTGTTGTTTCGAGTCGCTTCAATATGTTTCTCCGGTGTCGTGGCCACGCGCTGGGGAGAGAGACGCACGGAACACACATCGTCTCGCTAGCCACTTCGACTACGAGGCGCGGCGTTGACTCCTACAATCCCGTCTCTCGCCCCGCACATAACACCAGCCGAGGGACTACGACTGCAAACCTTGGATTCCCGAAACTGATCAAGGCCCATAGGTACACACCATTCTACAGCAACACCGTACAACTATTGAAACCGAATACTCCCGAGCTTATTCCCCCACCTTCGAAAGAAAACGGATGGGAGGGCCGGATTTTCGAAGCAATACTGGCGCCGTCTACGTTGGGCAGCCACTGCTGTCCTTCCATCTCTCCACACGCTCTGTAGCTTCCGTTTGTCGCTCAACTTGCTACATCGCTGCGTGCTTTCTTGTCAACGGAATGGCAGGAGGGGGTTTTACTTTCATCCCCTCTTGATCCCAAAATTCCGAAAAAATAATTAAACTACAACCCGAAACTGTCACCTCAATAATCCACAGATTATACTGTCTGTTCGATGAATATATTTTTGTTGTTGTTGTTGTCTTTCGAATAGCTTTATCATGTTTCTTCGGTCTCTAGGCCACACGCTGCGGAAAGAGACACGCGGAACACACATCGTCTCGCTAGCCACGTTGACTATGAGGTGCGGCGTTGACTCCTTCAAACCCGTCTCTATCCCCGCAAATAATTCTAGTCGAGGGACTACGACTGCAAACGTAGGAGTCCCGAAGCTGAGCAAGGCTCCAAAGGTACACATCACTCTACAACACCCACATCGAGGTCATGTGCTGGACGACTAAGGTCCCTTCCCCCGGCTAACCCATTGCGGTTCCGCGCGGGGCAGCGCTACACTTCAGTGATCTAACTGATCTACGACCCTACGCAGCTAACGGTACGGAGTCAGGAAACGTCGCATGACACGACAACAACTCCCCCACAAGAGCAACTGCACCGCTGCTTGCTCTAAGCCTGACCGCGGTCCGGTGGCTTCATCTCTCATCGATAGTGGTGTAACATTTCCGTCAAGCCGCCCGCACCCCTACTTTCCAGGTCCGTGGCTGCCACTACCGTCTTCACCCTCGCCGGTGCCCGAACCCCTGAGTCCCCCAGCCCTTCCCCCGATCGACGTCGTTTCTGATGACCCTTCCTTTGTACGGCTTGGGTTCTTATTGTGGACGTTTGGGCAGTTCTCGTCGTGGTATCAGGTCGGGGAGGTAAAAGCGTCGCAGAAGCCCGCTCGTTTCGACCCCTGTGCTGTCGTTCCCCGGGAGCACTTTGACGATGAAAGCAGTGGTTTCCCGGCTCGCATGGTAGGACGATAGTAAACCGCGGTCGTAACTCCTCCCATGCTGACGAAGCCCGAGATGTTTTTCCAGTCGATGGTGGGGACCGTCTTCGATGACCTCTGGCGGCTCGAAGTAGGTTGCCATGAAGCGGATTGCAACGTTGAGCCATGTCGCTGCGAACACTTTCAGGTCGTCGTTGATGAATCCGGCGAACCTGGAGATGCTGATCGCATTCCGCATTTCGCCGCGGTGCTCGCGGCAGCGTTCGCGAACCATTTCCAGCCCGACGTTCAAGGAACCCTCGAGGATTCCCAAACGGGCGAGACGCTCTGGGTCGCTGATACCCTTCGTGAGGATGTTGATCATGGCAGCTAACAGGATTTGTAGCGACTCGTCCAAAAGCACCTCAGCGTCTGGGTCGTCGGTTCCCCAACGGTAGTCAACATATTGGTGAAATTGAGAGCGAAGCATGAAATTGAGAGCGAGCGCCAAAAAAAAATAAATTCGGGTCCAGACGCCTCTTGCCATTTCTTGGGAGGTAGGGGGCGGGCTCTTCCAAGAAATGGCGCAAATTGAAGCTCTCATCAGCAGCGTCACGAGCATATGCGTGTGTCATCGTCATCGGATACTGCAGCTAGGAGCCAGACAAGTTGCTAGATTTCCCCAGATTGGCTATTCCTGCCTCAAACTGTTGCAGGGCGGCTTGGCCTCGGGCGGTGGGCTCTGCTGTAGCTTCTGCTCGCCGCTGTAACTCCACATTGAGAGATTCCCACAGGATGACCAGGGTATCTGCTTGTAGCTACGGGCTGGCCCTTCAACTCAAGCTACACAGCAAGCTCCACCTCTCGGCAGCAGTCCAGCTGCAGCGCATCGCGCAATCTCGCTCTCAATCAGATGCTTCGCTCTCAATTTCACCAATATGATGTCGCATTCAATTTCACCAATATGCTGTTCTAGTCTTCTACCCGGGATTCTGACAGCGAGTCCAGTGATGCCGCCACACGCGGGGTTGCGGATACACTGTTGGGCAGCATGGCTTGCCACTCCGGCCGCGAGAGTTTTGACACTGCCGAAGGCCGACCCAGGACTAAGCACGATTGCACGCGGCGAGGATCTGCCCGCTTACGCACCCGCTCTTTTGTGGCGGCTCTGGCGGCGTCGCGCGTAGCGGTGGCAGGGGTACGCGAGGCGGGTGGTGACACCGGTGGCGTCTATGTCGTGCCCACCAGCTCCGTCCCCCCCTGTGGACCATTATCGTCTCCTTGGGAGCTGCGCAGGTCGTCGGCCGTCACCTGCAGTTGCTGCCGGTCGCCGTCGGCCTCGTCGCGCTGCCGTGGCAGGTCCTCCTTCAGACCCTCGACCAATCCTTGAAGACTAGCCAGCCCTGAGCACTCAGTGGGCTCTCTGCGTGCGTCATCCGATCGCGCGCGCGTGCTAGCTGCTCTGCGCCGCGTTGGAGCGCGTGATGCCGCGTGAGCCGATGTGCGTGACGGCGGCCTCGTAGCTTACCGACCGGCGGCCCTTCTGGAACGGGGTGAAGAGACCAACCCGGCTCGACCGCGTTCCCCCTGCCGACGCCCGTCCTGGCATATTTTGCCTTTGCCTTGTAGAGACTGTTGGATGTACTCACAGCATTGACAGATTATTGCAACCGAGGAACGTTCCGAGAAGATGGAGCGAGGAATTTTCGGGGTTCCGCAGTTGTGGTGTATTGGGGGAATGGTAGTACCATCTTTGCCACATATTGTTGGTCCTGGGTATACGTGCCTGCAACGGTGTTGACCACGTGCCCTTGGAAAAAAAAATCATCTTCATTTTTCCCGGNTCTGCGCGAACAAGACGGCTGGAGGAGATGGACGAAGACCTCCGGGGGAACCAGGGACTAGTTCCTCTCCCCACGGGGAAGACAACGGGGGGAAAGGACGAGATTCGTTGAACCTCCCCGATGTGGACCAGGGAGGAACGAGAGCAGCCGCGGGTGGAGGGGAACAAGATCCAACTATCGCCCTTGCCGACCTCCTTCGCCGGGTTGCCACCTTCGCCTCCCAGACTCCGGGACATGACGTCCGCTCAGGCACGTCTAGTTCCCAACCCATAGAGTTGAAGCTGAGAGAGAGAGTCGAAGTACCAGAGTGGCATGATGCTTTCTTGAAGGATCGAAGTGCGACTGTCGCGTTCCGAACTTTCACNTGGATGGATGCAGAAGGTCTTGAAGAGATCATGAAAGGAGAAGAGATTCCTGTGGGTTCGTTGCACGTCGATAAGGCTTGGTTGCGGCAGAGGTATGGCGATGAAAGTGTTCGAAAGGCCAGGAGAGTCTGGATATGCTTGATCACGAAAATCAACGTTCAACCCATACTAGACCAGATACTAGCTTCAGAGAGTCCACAAGCAGGGTGGAGAGTGTTTCAGTCCTACTACGCTAGAAGCAGGACGACGCATGAGAGAGAAATCCTGCACGACACTTGGAACTGTCTAAGGCAGAAGCATGGAGAGACTCTTGTCGACTACTGGGGAAGGGCGAATACTGTGTGGATGCAATTACAGTCTTGTGGGGACAATCGAGA